TCTTTGTGTCCGTTTTGTGTATGTTTGTAAAGTCTCCCACGATACAGGGTTTATACCTAGTGCGAGAGTTATCTTTTCATAAAATAAAATAAAAATATACCCACCATCAATCTCTTTATTGAGTAACGTGAACTAAAATACTATATAATAAATAAGAATTGTGGAAATGTTATGAAACGCTCAGGCAAGTTATAGTCGTGTTTGTAAAGGGCAAGGGCTCATTGTCATGTTCAGAAAGTATATAATGCATACATTAACATAGTAAATCAATGACTGAATTTATTAAGTATACTATTAATAGATGAACTATCAAAAAAAAAAACCGGTCAGGTACGAGTCGTGCGCCGAGGGTTCCGTACCTACCCAGATTTTACGTAGATTTTCGTGAAAATTTGTAAGTACCAAAATGTTTCTTAATTTTCAACTTTTTTTATTTTTTGGAATTATTCCTTTATTCCTGCTGTAAGACATTTCTTTTTGCCAAATTTCGTGGTTCTAGGTCAACTAACATATAGATTTTCGACCCAAAACCAATAGGGTACTTCCGGTTGACCTAGAATTGTCAATTTTAGTTAAAAGCAAGGTCTTACAGCACAAGTAAAGAGAAAATTCTGAAAAAAAAAAGTTTTAAATTAAGGTAAATTTTGGTATTTACAAGTTTTCGCGAAAATCGAAATTTGCCCATATCTTTTTATCGTGTTGGCTACGGACCTTGATTTTTATACACCTAATAGGGACGATAGACCTCAGTATCTGATATAAATTTCAATTTGATAGGTCTACCGGTTCTGAGAAAATCGGTGGTGACACACGGACAGACGGACAAGAAAGTGATCTAATAAGGGCTCCTTTTTTACCTTTTGAGATACGGAACCCTAAAAATGATGTTCATCTAACAACAGGAGTTAATAAGTCGTTAATTTTCAGTTTACGTCTAGTTTAAAATATTATCGAACAATAGCCGGAGTATTTACTCATTTAGTTTATCGTACTAACACACATAACAAAAATTATTTTTTTTACTTAAAAATCGTAACAAAACAGGGTTGGTGGGAGTATACAATTAGGTAACATAAGTCTAAGGGACTAAAATAACTAACAGTGAAATAAATCTTTAACAGAATAACAAATGTTTTGCTGGGTTTCGATTTACTGTAAAGAGAATTCTCAAGATTGAGCATTTTAGTTCAACTGACGCGGTTTACTCGTGAAAATATGGCAGGTATTGGTTACAGAGCATTAATTTTCTTAACCAAAATAGAAACAACTACAAATGTTTGCAATAAGGTTTAAATTACAATAAACAGTTTGGTGAAAGTGGCAAACACGTGAATAGTGATCCTTCCATGGATTCACCGTGCGGGTGCCGGGTCTATCGCGTGATAGATGGGGCAACGGAGGACTGAGGAACGACTGAGAATTGCCACCCAGGAGTAGGTTTAGGGAGTAGGTACTCTTTGCGACAGGACAGCGCTCATTTCCACTATCTGCCGTGTTATCCCTTCTACCTAACCATATTTGATACGACCCTAAATGCTGTTTTGGATATTCGTTTAAGAAAATAGCTTACTGAAGCTCTTGGCAATCAAATGTCTTGAAGCAGGTTACAGAGGGATTTAGTTGGTAGACCCCTTGCACCCACTTCCACGACATACGATGCAACGAAATAGCCATTTCTAGTTATTTCGTTGATTAAGTCGCGAAGTACTTGTTTCTTTTTAAAGCGTGGTCTTTAGGGAAGTTTGTTAGCCACGGTACTACGAGTTCTGCTAGTACTACACTTGACTTTGCATAAATAAAGAAATAGTTCTGGTCTGGACGCCGAGGCACAGGTATCCTCCGGTATTTTGTAATGATTTTCATACGTGTCCATTAATAATGTCCAATCACTGGCGGTATTTATAATTGAGTATAGTTTTTGTGAAATATTTTAGTTGAGCCTTCTTTTACAAACTCGATGTTAGTTCTTATATTTGTTGTTATTCCTTTGTTTCACTCTTAAATTTTAATAAGTTAACAAATTACACGTAAAAAGGGGACAATTTAATATATTTTAAATACTTATAATGTATATTAAATACAGTTTTTTTACCAAAAAAAAACAAATGGGTAAATATTGTTAAACGTGCACCATATGGGCTAGCTCGAACGGAGTAATAACACGGTCTCACAGGAAACTGGTTTTAAGCAATTATTTCGTTGCTTTTCACGGAGGTTGCCAGAGGAACCTTTCTAAGAGCGGCAACGCACTTGAGTCTCTTAAACAGGTGACTCGTCTGAATCTTTCGTTGCTTTTCAGAGAGCGTCCCCCCTAGAACTACCCTAGTTCTAACCTTAGGAAACACCCTGGTTTCCTTCGGTAACCTCCGTGTAAAGCAACGAAAGAATTAGACGGTTGACCTGCAACGCACTTGTGCCTCTTAAACAGGTGGCTCGTTTGCTCGTTTGCCCCTAGGTTTAAGTCAAAGTGAAACATTGTTGTCAAACAAAACTGGTAGCTAAAAATCTGTAAATTCCAAACTTCATTTCATTAGACTGCTGTTTGTTTGGAAAAAAAAATGTTAAATTAACTATCGAACATTGAAAGCTAAATTTAAATTACTTGGAAATACTTAAGGTTGACGATTGAAATTACTTGTCAGATAAAGAAACTTTGAATAATTTGTGACGTAATCGGTCAATACACATTGCCTCGAATAACATCAAATGTTCTTTACGTTCTTTAAATCAATATTTTACTTGGTTCTTTCGAATTTTACACTCCTAATTTTAAACTACATTTAAAGGTTCATACATAAACTCACGACTTATTCCTTTTCGGGGTAAGTAGAGACAATAATAGAACGCCATTTGGCAATATTCGCAAAACGGAGAAATTATCAAATATATATTTACTTTTACTAGATGATTTAATAATCGATTGTTGATGGTTAAGATTTTTAACTTCATTGTGGATTGAATTCTTTACTGAATGACAATAATTTAATTCTAAGAAATACACTTCGATTCTCGGTTCATCTTATCTAACTCGCTAATCTTTTAAATATTAAAAGTGTATGCTGTTATTGATTACCAGGAAAATTTCGATTGGCGTTTAGCTCTGGTATAAACATTAAAAACTGTTTTTTTTTTCTAGATGGTTTTATTAACACTGGTTCATCTTTTTTAGTTCCATTACGATTAGTTTTTGTTTTTGACACTTCGTACATGGTCCTGTCATCTCAAACTGAGTAAAGTTTATCATTATCATACACAAAATGTATTTGATTAGAATTAGGTATATAATAGTTGTTTTTTTTTTTATATGAGAATATTTAATATTAAAATAACACAAAGAATACCGGAAACAGGACAACTGCACGGATGGCGTAGTGGTTTAAGCGGTCGCCACGCCGCTTCCTACTACGCCGAGTGTTGTGGGTTCAAACCCCACATGGGACGACACTTTGTGTGATCCACAAATTGTTGTTCTGAGTCTGGGTGTCCTTTGTGTCCGTTTCATGTATGTTTGTAAAGTCCCCCGCGACACAGGATTTATTCCTAATGCGGGCGTTGTCTTTAAAAAAAAAAAAAAAAAAAAAAAAAAAAACTATTTGTGGATCACACAAATTTTCGTCTCTACGCATTTTATTTACATAGTAATTTCGTTTGGTATTGTTTAGTGAAAGTTGAAGAATCATCCACATGCCGCCAGGCATGGCAGTGCCCCCGCCAAGACGAGCCAAGCGAAGCGCTGGATAGTACCAGATAAACAAAAAATTCTAGGATATGATGTCAATAGTAGATTTATTAAACCTATACAGTTTTAATTGCATAGCTCTTTTAATTTTGATTTTATTGATTTATTAGCTGGTACCCGCTACTTAGTTCGCGTGAAATTTGAGAGCGCTGCCTTAGTGGTGTAGTATGATAGGCAACTGCAGTCCATGAGGCTTCAGGTTCGATTTCTGGACCGGGAATTTTTTTATGGGGTTTTTCTGAGAGGAGAAACAGCCTAAATTTTAGGTCTAGCCGTTTTGAAGATTACCCAGAACAAACAGACAGATAGACAAAACATATTCAAACTGATTTTTACGCATAGGTATCGTGCAAATAACCGTGTGAGCTTGAAAAAAACGGTATTATTTTGACCTTTTACAATTGAAGTGTATCTTTGTAATGTCCGCGATTTTGTCACTGACTCACTGATGATCATCAAAATTCTTAGGGTGCTTCGAAACTTCTAGAAAGCTGAAATTTGGTATGAAAGCTGGAACTTTTAGCCTCCAACCTATTATCTCAACTTTTGACGCTAAGGATCTAAAATAATATATCGTAACTTACAAAAATTCAAACTACAGAAACAGTTAAATCTGCCCAAAGTTGTTTACGTTCATCAAACCATCCGAATAAATAGGTACTATCACTTACCTACCGTTGCTTTCCTTCTCACTTCTACTATTCTTTTAAATCAAGTAGTTAAATGGGACTTAAACTTTAGCCGATGACATTTGGGCGATTGATACTCTTTTTACCTCTTTGGCAATATAAGCGTGAGGGTACGTTACACACATACGCACAGATATTAGGAGCAATTACTATGACTACATTTATAAAAATCCTATCATATCATAACCATAGTTTTAAGCATAACCCTAGACCTTATAAATGTAGAACAAGAATGTTTTCCTGACAAGCTATGCTAATGTAATAGAACAGTTTTACCACATTATATATACCACCTATTTTGAGGTTCTTTCACTATTCGTATGATTTTTATTTTATTTACTATCAAACATTTGATCTTGGAGCGGTATAATCTCATTTGAAATTTATTATATCTAAAACAGTAATTTTGCTATGCTCTATCGTCCAGCCGTAAGTAAACTTCAAGCCAAATATTTGAAGACTCGTTATTCACACCTATAAGACTACTGTCGGTACTTTAATTCATCGCCGACATTAACACGAATAGACGTAGTATGTACTTCTTAAAGTCTTATTACTTCGTATCTACTTACATCAACTTTGATCCCTTCTAATTTGTACGCGTGTTTCGGTGGGTCGAACTTCGGCATGTAGCGGTAAAACTCTTCGTTGTCTCTGTACCATTTTACCGAGTATAATATATCTTCACCCAGTTCGTAGTCACATTCGAACTGAGCTGGCTGTCCTCTCACCCTGTATGTGGGCACTGACACCCGAATGATCTTCAGTAGTAAAGATTCTGTAACAATGAGAAGCAACTTATAAATAGATTTATTTTTATAAACGAAGAATTAAGCATAAGTTGTATCTGAATAATAGAGTATTATATAGATATAATATAAATATACATAATATATATTTTACAGATTCATCAGTACGACAGAGTACAGATTAGAAAAGTTGTAACGTTTTAATTTTTATTAAAGTCAATTCCAAGAACGAAATGGAAACAATGAACGATCTAAATTTCAGTCACATATATTTTGAGGTACTATGACCGGTGAATTAGGAAGAGCATTCAAAATTTAAAAGCCCTTGATTTATTTAGCCGACTTAAAGTGCTCGTAAGTGCTTTTGCTTGAATTATTGATTAATTCTAAGAATGGAATAGGTAAATCAATGTAAAGGTAACTTAAAGTGAAGGGTAGAATTTAACATTACATACAATAGGAGTCACTGGGAGCTGAGTACTTCTTTCGACGTTAACACATTTAATCATTTTTTTGTAATTATTACGTTAGACATAAATAAAATACTACGACCTCATTTTATTTTATGACTAGCAGTTCTCCGCAGTTTAGCCTGTGTTAATATTTAACTTACAATATAGTTTCAATTTTAATTAAAATATGTAATATATAGCATTCTATATTAAACATTGTATAATATTCTAGAGATTAGCGCATTTAGAAAAACAAACAAGAAATTCACCAAAAAGCTCTTTAACTTTATTATTTTAGTATAGACAGATGACCATTTCTCAAATGTAAGTTGTGTATATACACGCGAGCGCGGCATGCGGTTAATATCAAAGGGGTCCGGCGACTTGCAGATTATCTTGATATTGTGGTTATATCATCCCTCATTCTAAAACCGAGACAATTGCGAAATTATATTTGAAAGTTAAATTTTTTTTTGGCTAAAAAATGCTTAAGTTATTGTTGTAAAATGAATTTCATGTATAGGGGACTTTTTGACTCGAAATTTGTTATGTTACTTTACTTACTGGGTCTACCAATAGGGATGACCTGGTTTTGACAGCTCATAGCGGCCATGTTTGATGATGAATCTTTGACGTCTTTTGACATTTGTGTAGTAAGGTTTGCCATTTTATCATGTCACGTTTCACTTTAAACCAACGCTTGGAAATTGTCCAAAATGATTACGCAAATTCGCGTTCTCCTACCGCTACAGTAAGAGCGCTTCGCGCAAAAAACGGTCATCATAGTGCTCCTTCTGTGCGCGCTATAAGTCGCATAATAACAAAATTTGAAAATGAATTCACTCTCCACGATACTGCTGTGCCTGTGAGACAAAGAATTGCCCGTAGTGAAGAGAATATCGCAGCCGTTCAGGCCAGTGTTGATGCGAATTCAAATCGATCAGTTCAACGCCGTTCACAAGAGTTGGGGCTCTTTCCAATGACCACCTGGCGTATTTTGCGGTTGGATTTGAGCCTACACCCATACAAAATTGTTTTGGAACAAGAATTGAAGCCATCCGACCATTGTATCCTTCGTGAATTTGCCGATTATGCACTGGAAATGATGGAAGCCGATGACGATTTTCATCGTAAAATCATCTTCTCAGATGAGGCCCATTTCTGGCTCAATGGATTTGTTAATAAATAAAATTGTCGCTATTGAAGTGAGTCAAATCCACATGTGGTTCATGAATCACCATTGCATCTGCAAAAAATAACAGTTTGATGCGGTTTATGGTACGGTGGAATCATTGGTCCGTAATTCTTTGAAAGTGACGAAGGAAACCCTGTTACTGTGAATGGCGAGCTATAACTCGATGTTAACCGAATATTTCTTTCCGGAATTTGATGATATTGATGCAGACGACCTTTATTTTTAACAAGACGGTGCACCACCTCACATTACTGGAGTGAACCTGGAATTATTGCGTGGAAAGTTTGGTGAGTCGTTAATTTCGAGAAATGGACCGATCAGTTGGCCACCAAGATTTAACACCTTTAGACTATTTTTTTTGGAGTTAGGTTAAATCTAGTGTACAGCAATAATCCAGCTACAATTCGTGACCTAAAAACCAACATTCGACGAGCCATAGCCGACATACCGGCCGAAATGGTGCACCGCGTCATCGAAAATTGGCGTGAGCGGGTGACCGACTGCAAAAAGAGCCGCGGCGGTCATTTGGCCGATATATTATTTAAAACATAAATTGCATAAAATTATCTATCAAATAAATCAATCAAAAATGATATTCTATGGATAGAACAATGGCGGGTCTCCATACAAAAAAAAAATATTTGGAATCAAATTGCATCGTCTAGTAGTGAAAAATATATAAAACAGTTCCCTTTTTTAGTATATATGTGTAAAACAATTTTGTTTGGGAAAGGCTAGGAAAAAAAATATAGGCATTTGTTTTTTTTAGTTACACACTGTATTTTTTATCTGTGGACTCTTTTCAAACAAGTCCACAGATAAAAGCATAGCTGCATTATGTTTCCTTTATTTTATCAATTTATCTATCGCTATCGACTTTTCAAATTGGTTTTTCTATTGTTTTACGTAATTATTTGATAATTATAACGGTATCTGTGCCATTCAAATAAAATAAAAAAGATAATAAAGAGTTATTATAGTCCATTATTAGTGTCTTCAAATATTTGGTCGTCTTGTTCTTCAAAAAGGGTGACAAGACCATGTTGAAGAACTATCTGCCCATATTCTTTCTAAGCCACGTCTACAAGCTGTTTCCGAGAGTCATCACGAACCGTCTTGCGCAAAGACTCGACTAATTCCAACCACCGGAGCAAGCTGGGTTTCGGAACGGATATGGCATCATAGACCACATCCACACAGTACGGCAGATTATACAGAAAACAGAAGAATATAATCAGCCCCTGTGTCTAGCATTCGTGGACTATGAGAAAGCCTTTGACTCGATCGAGATCTGGTCTGTTCTGGAGTCCCTGCAGTGTTACTAAGTAGATTGGCGATTCATCCAAGTGATTAAATGTCTCTACGAAACCGCCAAGTATAGAATCAGTTGTTTGCTGATTCCATACCATTGCATCGAGGAGTGAGACAAGGGGACGTTATTTCGCCGAAATTTTTCACAAATGCAATGGAGGACATGTTCAAGACGCTGCACTGGAAAGGGGTGTGGCATCGATATCAATGGCGAATACATCTCTCACTTGCGATTTGCAGACGACATCGTCATCATGGCAGAGACGTTCAGGACCTACAGCAGATGCTGAATGACCCTGCTGTCTCTTCTGTACGCATCGGCCTACGGATGAACTTGGATAAAACCAAGGTCATGTTCAACGAGCATGTACTACCGGAACCAATTGCGGTACACGGTGCCGTTATTGAAGTTGTTCAAAATTATGTGTACCTCGGGCAGACATTGCAGTTAGGTAGAAACAACTTCAAGGACGAGGTGAACAGAAGAATTCAGTCGGGTTGGGCAGCGTTTGGGAAGCTACGTCCCGCAGTGCCTTAAGACGAAAGTCTTCAATGAGTGCGTCCTATCCGTCATGACATACGGAGCCGAAACGTAGACACTTACGGTACGGCTGGTCCACAAGTTCAAAGTCGCTCAACATGCTATGGAAAGGGCTATGCTCGGCGTTTCTCTAAGGGATCGCATCAGGAATGAGGTAATCCGGCAGAGAACCAAGGTCACCGACAAAGTCTACCGGATCAGCAAGCTGAAGTGGCACTGGGCTGGCCATATTAGCCTCAGAACCGACAACCGTTGAGGAAAACGAGTTCTTGAGTGGAGCCCGCGTCTCGGCAAACGTAGTGTAGGACGCCCATAGGCCAGGTGGAGTGACGATTTGCGCAAGATGGCTGGCAGGAGCTGGATGCGAGAAGCCATAAATCGATCCAAGTGTCGTGCAATGGGAGAGGCCTTAGTCCGGCAGTGGACTGCGATAGGCTGATGCTGATAGTCCACTAGCTGTAGAACTTGCGTAGGTTATATTTTTATGTCACTTTTAATGTGTCTGATGTTTGCTTTTTTTTCAGCTTGCAGTTGCCACTTAATTTTCTTTTACTTCCTTATATTCCACTACAGGATTTTCAAATACGTAAATAATGCGTTTAATAATACACCACAAATAACATTCTTTATTGATTCAGTACATACAATTATAAAACTATTATCTGATTACTATATTACTATAAAGTGATTACCATATTACGACACTTTATTGGGCAGTATTTACAATTCTTGAAAAAAAAATGGCTGTAAAATGGTAACACTAAACTGATATGGAAAATTAAAATACTCAAATAAGGTTTTACTAACTTAGACGATAGTTTCAAGAAATATTCAATAGAATTAGTTTCCTATGAATGCCATTATAAGACGCTCAAAGTACTACGAACTACGAATTCGCCATTGTTCTTTAAATTAAAAATATCGACTACTACACTACACAGTGATGCAGATGTGGACCCCGAGAAACATATAGTAACCAGATAGATAGGATACTCAAGAAAGGCCTTGTTAAAAGCACCTGTAACCCCCGAGCGTGTATGAAAGAGCCTGATAAATGTTACACCCAATTGATATGTCAAGATCATGGCAAATGGCGTTCTATCGACTCCCCATATCTCAGGAGGGAATGAGGCATCAGTGTATATATGTGTGTTTATCCCTGCTCTGTAACGAGTATTCCAGGATATTTTAGATACACAATAGAAGAACCAAAAAGAAAATGGATTAAAAAGGCAACCTATGGCAAAGAAAAATATCAAAGAGTAACTGTATGGATATTGGCTATTGGATACAGGAAACTTAATTGAAAAAACACGCACACAGTTCGTTGTACATGATTGGAGTGCTCCATGAAAATCTATAAACAGGCCAAGCGGGTTCTCGGTTTATAGACTGCAAGTTTTTTCCGTATGCCATTTAAATTATGACAGTGATTCTAACATACAAAGGACACAATGAAATCTCAGTCTTTTGTTTGTGACAGTTTCTAATGTTTTTACTCTAACAGAACTAGATATTAAGTTGATCATA